ATTGTCCTGCCTCCAATACTGATTGTTCCATTGTGGTGTTCCTGAGTGTCAGTCCTGATTCGTTCTAGGAAGATGTTGAAAAGAGTGGGAGAGAGCAAACAGCCTTGCCTCACCCCGATCGTTGTCCTGAACCAATCCCCGTGCTGCCGTTAAGGTAGACTGCGCTGGAGGCCTTGTCGTATTGTTGTTGCATGACGTTGATCAGGTTGACGTTGATGTTATATTTCCTCATGGTTTCCTATAAAGCTGCATGCCAGACCCTGTAGAAAATGCACGAAGATATGGTATAGGTTTTGTTAGTGTTGGAGGTACCTCTCGCACACTATCCTGAGGTTGAAGATCTGTTCTGTTGTGCTGCGCCCTGCTCTAAAACCTGCCTGCTCTTCGTCATTATCTTCAACATAACCTTGGGTGGCTTATTAGACTGATGGTGCGGTAATTCTGACATAGTTGCAGGTTGCCTTTCTTGGGGAGTGTAATCACTAGTGATTGTGTCCATGGTGTTTGCCACTTTCCTGTCTGCCAGATCTTGTTGTAGATGACAGCAGTGGCGAAGCGTCTATATAATCAAATAATCACTGCTTCCCTTTCTAATTCTGAAACGTTGTAGCAGTCAAATTCACCCATAAACGTAAACCGTATAAATTAAATGTAAAAAGACGTTCATAATCAACAATGAACAGTGTATGCCTAACATTCAAAACGGTTTCACTGCCACAGAAATAGCCTGCTCCCCCCTCTCGGGCCACTCTATAAGCAGTCACAAGCTTTGATTAAATAAGCTTACAGTGGGGATGGAAGAGTTTACCAATAGAATTGAAGGGAATACGTGCATAGCAGTCAATATTGTTTCATTGCCACATTTACCCTGTTCACCCCTTTCGGGCCACAGTTAAAATCAGTCGTAAGCCCTGATTATGTAAGTGAACTATTACACTGGTCGAGTCTACCTTACAGATGTGAGGGGAACTAACTCATAATAATCTCTTTACTGCTGTGAGTGCTTGGTTTTTTTCCTCGACTTTTTAACGTCCTATAATCAGATCGTGACCTCGATTATGACACCGGCTCCTGGCCGCGAAACGCTAG